ACACTCAGTTTATCGGAGCCCAAACCCCCAGCCAGTGACTGGACCACCCAGGAACCCACCGGAGAAGAGAACCCCAAAGAACTAACCCAGAGTGAAGCCCTAAACAGGACACCGAGGTATCACCGGAGGTAAGTCGGAGCTCAGACCAAGGCAATACACCGAACTCTCTCTCACTCTAAGGTTAGGGTAACACACTCAGCAACTCTAGCAAAAGAGAGGAGAAAGAGAGTATAAATAGGTAGTTCCAGAAGGGTCTAGGACAAGCCAGATAAAGGGGGTTCAACGGGCTGGGATAAAAGAGCACAAAGGAGGGGAGGATGGGCCAGACACCCAGACGGCCCACTTGGGCCTAAATGAGAAACCAACTCATTAACCAGGGAATCGGGTAAATGGGCTAAAGAGGAGGACCAATACCAACTCACAATAGCATATTGAATTCTCTTCTCCACTAGGTGTGTCCATTCATAATACATTGAATGTTCTTCACCTGGGGTATCCAATCATTATACGGAGTACATTGGATGCTTTTCTCCGCTCGGTGCATACATTCATAACGCATAGGACTCATACATCTCATCTTTACTTCTCTCGATTTCAAGTTTCCTACAACGAATCGGATTGAATCGAATATTGAGTAATATTATTCGTATTCGTATAATTTGACGAATATTTGTATTCATATTCATTTAATATTCAAATCATAAATTCTATTGGTATTTGATTCGTTACACATAGTTGAATATATTCAGTTTGTATTCCAACATTCGAATTCGAATGTTTTAAATGTCAATTATTTTGCAGCAACTCAAATTATGATGTATTGTACGGATTTTTTCGATTTTTACACGTACGTTTACTACAATGAATGTACTGATTAAACCAGAGAAGTAGAGAGCGGGTACGGTTTGAATATATATTACGAGTACTTATTTTAATTATTCAAATTTAAATTCTTATATATTATAACTATGAGGGTTGTTCGAGTCAGGCGGCCTAACCGGACAGTCCCGTGCGGCCTTCCCCGTTTGAGGGCCTTCCCGGTGGAATTTTTTGATGAACTGTTTTGAGCATGTTCCTCATCAAGTCTAGTTTATCCATACCAAATTTCAGCTCAAAATTCGATCGGGAAGACAGTCAAATAAATTCTTGAAACATACTGAGCATTCTGCGCATATATAAAGTGCAGTATGTTTCAAGAATTTATTTGACTGCCTTCCCAGTCGAATTTTGAGCTGAAATTTAGTATGGATAAACTAGACTTGATGAGAAATATGCTCAAAATATTTCATCAAAAAATTCCACCAGGAAGGCACCCAAAAGGGGTGCGGGCCTTCCGGTCAGGCCGGCCTGACTCGAACGGGACTCTTATAACTATATTGGAATATATTTAATTTGTGGCAAATCTTCACGTCAGGCCGGCCTGACGGGATGCTCCGTCCGGCCGAGCCCGTTTGGGCACCTTCCTGGTGGAATTTTTTGATGAAATTTTTTGAGAATGTTCCACATCAAGTCTAGTTTGTTCATACCAAATTTAAGCTCAAAATTTGATCGGGAAGGCATTCAAATCATTTTTTGAAGTTGACTGCAGTTTTATATGTATATTTTGACGCAGTTAACTTCAAAAAATAATTTGAATGTCTTCCCGATCGAATTTTGAGCTGAAATTTGGTATGGACAAACTAGACTTGATGAGGAACATGCTTAAAAAAATTCATCAAAAAATTCCACCAGGAAGGTGCCCAAACGGGCTCGTCCGGACGGAGCATCCCGTCAGGCCGGCCTGACAAGAAGACCACTCTTAATTTGTATGTGTATAATTCAAATATATTCGAATATATTCAAATAATATATGAATCGGATATAGGTATATTTGTATTCATATTCGAAAGTTATTCGAATATCAAAACCAATTTGAATTTGTATTCGATTATTTGAAATTCGAACTCGTATTCGATTATTTCGCATTTGAATCCACAATTTCGAATTCGAATCGTTCACAACCCTAATCATGACTTCATTTCGTGCATTCTCATAATCCATTTATGACTAGTTCAAAAAAAATCCATCTATGAAAATGAAGAAGAGGAGGAAGATGATGCCTACTACGAAGACCGCTTCCACGTGGCTATGCTGGCTTCATTTGTTGCAATGAACTCCAACAATCATGAGTACATAGATTGTGACCGAGAAGCTACACAACGTCTGTACATGGATGAATAACACCCCAACCCATAGGACCCGAGGTAGTTACTCATACACATCCTCCGGACCTCTAGTATTGGCCTCACAAACCGCAACTAGCCTTTTCCGAACACTTTGTCCTCACTCGTGCGCGCCTTGAGAAACTTCACAGGGTTCACCCATCCCAAGACTACTCCCATGCAAGCACACTTAGCTTTGGAGTTTTTAACTGATGAGCTCCCTTAAAAGGAGATGCATCTTGTTGGTATGAGTAGTACTATTAATCCTGTTAAATTAATCTCAAGTGCTACACTACCAGCAACATTTTCACATGCAACCATATTTGTTCAATTGAATCGTGAAAGATGTCATGGCCTTTGATCCTTATTTGGAAGTATGTCAGATGCTCAGAATAAGGTATATGTTTCTCCTCAACAAAACTCTATAGTGCGATATTTATGCTCACCATTGGTTGCTTGACTGATTCATTAGATCAGTTGTGTCGTTTGGATGAGACCACCAAACTATTGTGCGTGAAAAAAAATTGTAGGGCATTTATTAGTATGTACAGTTCTTTAATTTGTACCTACAAACACTCAACCTCGGGGATCTGCATTGTCTTCTTAAAAAGGCCTCAAATAGAGGCTTTCCTAGGATGACTGGGAAAAACTGGTGTACATTTGGGGGGGGCAGTACACTAGGTGATTAAAATAGGAAAAAATGAGGTGTTTATATAGGATTTCGGACAAAATATGATTTAAAATAATGAAAAAATAAAATGAACTATAATGAACTATTTGAACCATTGGATTCCAATTTCGGCCGTTGAATCCATTTTTTTCGTGTTCATGTAGTGTCAAAACCATCTTAACCGTTAGAACCCCTAAAAGTTTTTAAAAGATTACTTATTAAAATTATTAAGATAAAAATGACTAACATTTTTTGTTAATGACCAAATTTTCAGCTCATTCGAATAGTAAATTACTCATAAATCGGGACAGATAGCGCACCAGAATACTGCTAGTGGTTTTTACAAATAAAGCGGGAGCCAAAAAAAGAAAGAAAGAAAAACAACTCATCTATTAGTGATTGTCAAACTCTTTACATCAGCCTCAAATGTACTGCCCCCCCCCCCCCCCCCCCCCCCCCCCCCGAGGTTTGAGTGTTTGTAGAACTCTTTTCCTATTTTAATCACCTAGTGTACTGCCCCCCCCCCCCCCCCCCATCAGACAATACTAGTTTGACATTTATTACTAGGGCCTCAAATAGAACTTGTATTAACCAGTGTCATTCGTCATCTTCTGCCACACAGCATTAAATACAAATACATGTGTACACTAGTTTATGAGGACTTAGTTATGAGGGAAGCTCTGCTGTGTGGCAGAAGATGACGAATGGCACTGATTAACAGTCTGCTGAGTAAGAGATGAGGTGGTCTAGGACGAAGGGTTAAGGACCCACGTCCTTGTGGATTCCCATTTGCCTTGTCAACTAGTTCGTGACTGAGACCCTTGTGCTGGACGAGGTGCTAGAGGTCAAGGGGCCTACGTGGATCAAGGTGACGGCCTATTGAATCTATGGAGTTTGTTGTTTCTGATTGCTTCATGAATATGATCCCTCGACTGGTCGATGGGCCCAAACGAGGGCCTAACCCAGTTGCTTTATTTGGACTACTTGTTTGTCGATGAGTGTGGGTTGTGTGGGTCGTCATATACCTTATCAAGGACATAAATTGGACTTTGAGGAATCAAGTGTACCATTTTGCATCATTCACGCTTTAAATTTCATTACCAAACTGCGATGTATGTTGTGGCATAGCCAGAGCTTTTATCGGATTGAGCCGATATAAAAAAAATAGAAAACTTTTACACAATTTTCGAATTATGAAAATCTTACAACATGTTATTTGAGCACATTTTATGTACACCATAAATACTTCCATTTTTTCTATTGCACTTTTAAATTTTACCTCTTTCTCTCCCAATTCTTTCCCTCTATGTTCCCTATATGGCTATATCTTCTCTTTTTACTTGCCGTTCACTCTCCCACTCTTTCCCCACCTCCTTTTCACTTACCATTCTCTCTCCACACTCACTCTTCTCTCTTCCATCTTCACCACCTTCAATTGTCACCGTCTTACATCGTTTCCATCACCATCTTCATATCTTTAATCTTTATCATCTTCACCATCTTTATCATCATACAATCTTACATCTTCACCACTTCATCTTCCATTTTCCAGATTTGCCGGAGATGGTCGCTGGAAAACAAAATCAGAGACAAACAATTACCGAGTTATTGTTTATGTACAAATATTCTATACGGAGTACATACTAAACATTTTCAAAATATTATTCTTGGCAGGACTAGAAGAATACGACTGGAGCAGAACATCTCAAAGGGCTAGCAAGTACTCCCTAGAAGTACTTCCTAAACACACTCATCAGGATGGAGTGCAGCCCAAATAAGGAACTTAAGATCCAGCAAGTCTAGTCGAGGTCAGTAGGAATCTCAAAATCAGACTCAATAGCTTAGACCAAATCACAAGTATAATGTCCCCATCACAGACAGATTGTCTACATTGAATCTCCGAATTTTCAATTTCCCTTTCGTGGGCCTCGTGGCACACGAGACACAACTATGACTTTCGTGTATAGTTGATTTCTCAACAGACAAATGATAAAGGACCCAAGGCAAAAAATCACAAGTGTGCCAAAAGTGGGAAAGAATAACAAGTTGAAGAACAAATCTATAATCATTGGATCAAAGTGAAATATTTTACTAACTTATAGATGAGTTACTAGTTAAAAACTAACTAATTATTCAATCAAATTTATTCTGCAATTTTATTAAATTATAGGTAATTTTCCTTAAATAATATTTATACATCTCAAAATGTAGGGGCTATATTTGTACATACAACATGAAACATAACCGTGGGGAACTAGTCCTTACACAGCATTGTACAATCTACTCACAAAAAAAAGAAGAGTTCATTCCTTCACTCGTGCCTCTTTTATAGTGAAGAGCATAGCCAGACCAGCAACGACAACAACAGCACCATATAGAAAGAGGTTTCTCAGCATCTGCAGCTTTATTGAGAATGTATTGCATACATATGCCCACAACCATTGCATTATAAAATGCAATCCACAAGTCTTCCTAAACTTGTGAATTGAGAAGTGCTGCAAAACAGACAATACTGTAGATTAAGCCATTCGAATGAAAATTTAGTTGGAAAAGTGAACTATTCCCGACAGCATTACAGTTCAGTGGCAAAACTTTCATGTAAGATTTGCGAAGTTGTATCGGAAATATAATAAAAGCAGTGCAACCTACAACCCTGGTCTGGTGCCATGTCTTTAGAGGGTACTTTTGCTTATGTTCCCTTACATTCGGCACAGCTGAGATTGAACTTATCTAACAAGAATGCTTCATTATCGGTAGTTTAAGTATGGAATTCTTTAACTAATGCAACATGCAAAAGTGATGTCATGTATATGTTCTTAGTTACAAAGTCTACTTGAAGTTAATTAAGACCCGCACGATTAAATAAAAAACATTTATAGTTACAAAGTGGTGCATTTGTCAAGACATTTTCGAAGGCATATGTTTAAGATGCAGTATAGTACAGATAGCGAGAATGTCATGCAGGAAGCCGACAGTTTGAGAACAGTCACTAATGCATTTTAGTACAGGACCTATCAGAAATATAAATGGTAGAAAAATGATTAGTTTCTCCGAACATATACTATATAGCTTCTCTGTTGAAGTGTGCTCAAGATGACTTTGGCTAGTTTTATTGTGGCTGATTCCCCCCTCATCATGTCCGGGGGTCAATCCCCACCCATAGAAATATTGGAGTAATGCAGTCCCATTATTACTTATTAGTAGGTAATTTATTCCCCGTTAATCAGGGTCTCCGGATATTTAGCATTGAGCATAAACAGAAACATCTCGGTTAAGTTCCAAAGAAATGCATTTCAACTTGCATCCATTTATTTAACCAGTTTCTAAAGCAAATTGCAAAATAGTTTTGATTTCCACAAAGATGGTATGACAATCAAGTTGTTCTTCAAGTCACTTCTAGTCCTATTTTCATAGACGAACAAAACTCATCGAAGCCCATTACTGTGTTGTGTGAGAAGACACATCAGAGTGATTTCTAAAGGGTTGTAAAGACTGGTGAACATGCAAGAGAACTCTTTCTAAAGGCATTCCATATGGCACAAATTGATGTGTGTCACACATTGAGATCGATATATAACTGCATGCTTTATACTTCACCCTTCTGCTTATCTCCGAATGACTAGTTGAAGGGTTCATGTGTTTCTATATGCTTTTCCAGATCCGTTATCATGAGGGCGAAAAGAAAATCAATTTCCTGTTCCTATGTTTCTAAAAGGTTCAATAACAATTATGGTTCACCTGTAACAGTGGCTTTAAACAAGAGAGTTTATCTCCACTTTTTAAAATCCCTGTCAAATTAAATAGAACAAGTTTATCATACTATTTGTGCATTTCAAGAAGAGATGGCACTTCCACCAATCCATGATCTATGTCAAATGGTTATAATAAAACAGGAGCTAAAGGAAAGTCTATTGCTACCTCAGGCAACTTCTCGTGCTGGGCTAGATGATCCACATGAAGCCTTACATTGGATGAAGCATGAATCCAGAAACTTGGATCAACATGAACATATGTATACGCAACTATGTCAAACAATGTTTTGGCTCCATTCTCCATTGATTTTAAGATCATTGACTCCCTCTCTCTCCGGTTTCTATCAAGAAAAATATATAATTAGGTAGCATCCAGGACCCATCAGCCATCAGTTTAAAAGAAACGTATCACCACGGTAATCAGGAAGATTGACTTGGCTCTCATTTTCCCAAATTATGGAACTAAACAAATGGCATTTGCTCAGGAAATTATACTTAAACCAGATAAACAAGAGTATACACATAGCTTAAAATGTTTGCGTTGTGCAAGTGTTTAAGAATATATTGCAGTATCGCTGGGAGGCCACTAACATTTTTTGAAATCTGAGAAGAAATTAGTATCTACATTTCACACCAAAAGCATTCCAAATTTCACACCTGAGGTATCCACAGAGCATATGTTTAGGCCACATATTAACTCTTCCATGCATGGGAATCAAAGCATGAGGTGAAAGCTCCATAAATTTATAAGTTGTCTGGAAGTAATCCTGTGCAGTAAAATAAAGTATCAAGCGTTTTATTCTCCAAAGCATGAAAGTTCTAGAAATTTAAAAAATAGATACATATGCAGTCATCAAGTAAGAAAATTTTAAAAAAACGGATGTCAGCACGAACTTACTACAGGTCTACAGTTAATCCAGGTTTACAAAGATGCACATGTATCTGTTTGACACTCAGTAATTTGTATATAATGAACACTTACAGCCATAGATCCACCTGATTTAATATCTAAAAATGAGCTTCCTTGCCTGAAAAGAGGATATCGGGAATATCAATTAAGAAGAGATTGATAATAAAAATAAATACATAAAAAAGCAGCAGGATTAGGACGTTAGGGACAAAAGAGCAAGGACATGTTAGTTGAATGGTTAACACCTGATTTACAAAGTTGAAATGTAAGATCAACACAAGTAGTTGATGTGGTAGCAAGAACAACTAAAGGACCGCTAATTATAAGTCGCAGTTCACATGGGACAAATACCCCACAGATTAACCTTAAAGGGAGTGCATATAATCATATATCATGTAATCATATCAAAAATCACATTTTTATATGAGGAACGATCCGAATTGATATAAAAGTTAAGTGTCAACACTAACCCTACACAATGATCCCCCGCAATCAAAGAGTTTGAACTCACGTGAAGAAGTGCCAAGTGCCCATCAGTATGCCCCTGGATAGGAAAATAATTTCAACATAGGATCACTTCTTGAAAAAAAGATCAAGAAACAAACACAAAAAAACAAACTCCTCTTTGTCCCTATTTAAACTTCCCAGTTTAAGTAGCACGCATTTTAAGGAAATAATTTTTTCCATGGACTTCATGAAATCGCCCTTTTACTGAGAGATAAACTTTACTGTATAGTACATTGTTTTGACATTGTTTCACACTATTTTACACTTTGGAATTATTATTTAAGAGTAGTAGAGTAAATTGATAGAAATTTGTTTACCAAATAAGAAAGGGGGCTTTCTTTAGGGACATCCATAAAAGAAAAGTGGGAAGTTTTTTATGGGACGGAGTAAGTAGTTATTAAAGCATCTTTATACATTTCATAGAAATATCTTAAACTAGCACAATTCTACTTGCAGGTGAACCTTGATGCAACTAAACACAGAACTTACAAATAATTTAAGAGGCAGTTCAAAATTGTTCTCTTTAACAATAGACTAAAAAAATTTTATCCACTAGAATAAGAAATAATCCAAGCCTAGCCCGATGAGTCTTTTTGGACCGAAATAGTCATTCAAAAAACTCTATTTACATGCTATGACAAAGACATCCATTGAATAGATGACATTTAATGAGTATTGCCCTTGTGAAATATATTCTTGAGATGTCCATCCAATATTAACACTGAGCCCCATATGTTTGCGGAACTTCTGTTAAGAGTTTGACATTTGGACCCATAGGCATATCTACTGGTCTAAGCTACAGATATTTTTCAAGGCATACTTCCTTTGGGGTAGAACACAGTTGTTACACTGTGCAACCTCAATACTAAGTATTTCAGCTTCCTGGGGTCTTCAGTTTGAAATTCACTTGAGAACATCTTGAGTTGAGTGCTTGCATGATCATCACTACCTCTAAGTTCTAATGACAATGTCAACAACATATACTACTGGATAAATACATTTTTTCCCATGGAATGTCTATAGAATATAGAATGATCAACATATATTTGAAATATGGCCACTAGTGACAGCACTGGACCTCCTGAATCATACATGTGGAGATTGTTTCAAGCCATATGAGGGTAATTGCCAACTCACAATCAACATCACTTCAACTGACAATCTGTAGACAAAAGATTTAAAAAGTCTGAGGCCAAGCGCAGAAACGTTGACAGACCAAGGATGGACGTAATGGTTGTGTAGGGAATTGCAGACAACGATAACAAGAGGGTGGATGTGCTACAAGCCTTGAGATTGATGCCCACTTTCAATCATCTTCCTCGTACAACGATCTTGCGCAATCACAGAAAGAAAAAGAAAAGCAGATAAGAACGAGTGTAATTTAATAGAAACAAGGTTAAAAGGGCTATTAGGAACACATATACTTATTCTCATGGTAATGATGCCTTTGAGAGAGCATGTCTAGTCCCGAATTTCAATGGTAAATACATATGGATCCTTAACATACTGAAACGACTCCCATTATTAGTATAAAACCAATAACAAGCTGAATCTTCCAATCGATAATTAGGCCAAAGAAAAAATTCAATCAATTTATGTTGATCCTTATGCTCAGGGTTGCTCTCCACCCAAACTTGTTTTTTGTTGGAAACTAGAGATTTTGCATCCACACCAGTAACCAGGGTTTGATGACCATTGGCCAGACCGATTTAAGGTAAGCTTTTGGGTTTGGAAATATTAGATAAGGCTTGCAGAAATATGGTCTGAGGCACCAAAGTAAATGATCCATGAGCTAAAGGGTTTGAAAGACAAGCTCAAGGCGTACCAGCTATTGACATAGTCTGATTTGACGCTTCAATTATTTATATGCCTCACATTTGGCAGAAGATACCAAACCAGAGATGGCGGGATCTGAGCAACATTAGTCGAGCTAGGAGCTCTCCCATGTACCTTCCAACAGATCAACACTTATCCACTTCCAAGTCATTCCTGAGTTTACTTTCCGACACCAATCATCTTCCACGACAATTCCTAAGTTTCTGGCTAATCTGCCCATCAGTTCTGGTGTTGATCTGCCATCCCACGTGCTGCTACTGACCCTCTCATACACCACTGTCAGATGCCACTGACATTTTACATTTATTCCTGTATATGACCTCCTTGTACTGGCATTCCTGAGTTTCTGGCAAATCTGGAATCAGTTGAGGTGTTGATCTCCCTTCCCACGTGCCGCTAGTGACCCTCTCATGCACCACTGTCAGATGCCGCTGACATTGAGTTTCCAGAACATTTATTCCTGTTTATGTCTTTATGACCTCCTCATACCGATCAGCTGCGGAGTTCTTATGTTCCATCATGATATTTAGAGCCCAATACAATGAGTTCTGTTTTTTTCATCTTTTTCATCAAGGATAACTAGGAGGCTTCTATGCAGCTTTCCAACACCTACTAGCACCTAAGAGGTCTCCCGTGTATCTTTCCAAAAAGGGAATAGCTGGGACCCATATAGCTTTCCAACACCTACTAACACCTAAGATAGCGATGACTAGGATTTGTTACTTTTGGCTGGTACAATGTCAAAGTATAAATATATTTATTCTTACAAATTAAAAAAAGAACTATACAAGGTGTATATTAGTTACAATTAGGGTTAACTCTACACAGTGAGCTACGCCCAAATGGCCCAATACAACTATATTTAGGGTTACAGCATAAGACTGCTCACAATTTACAATGAAGAATGCAGATTTAACTCCACTTCACAAGTTAACACAGCTGCAATGAATTTTAGAATTGTTTAACTAAGTTCATATTTGGAAATGCAAATAATTACTATCACAAGAATCAATACTAAGATGTAATAAGTCCATTGTGGAGGCAACTGATGGATTGAACATGTTAATTCATTTAAGTTAGATCATACTAAGGGAATAACTTTGTGGGTAATTTCTTATGTAAAACAACAACAACATCCAAGCCTTAGTCCCAAAAGATTTTGGGTTCGGCTAACATGAATCGATCCATGATATCGATGCCAAAAAGAGAAGAGAGACAAGAGGAAGAAAAAAAACGGACAAGATAAAGATAAAACTTTGGTGGGTAATTTCTTACGTATGGATGAAATATACTCAACTGTCAAACTCTACTTTATACTTTATAGAACCATATTAAGGATGTTTTAATTGGTCTGGTATTTTCTTATCTGATCTGGTCTGATATGGTCTGCTCTATTTAAACTTGGTTTGGTCTAAACTAGTCTGGTCAGTTTAATAAGTTTGGTTTGGTCTAGTTTGAACTAGTCTAATATGATATGGTCTTCTCATTCTGGTTTGGTGGACTCAAACCAGTCCAATTAAAAACATTCTCAACGTTATGACAATAACTTTTAGGATACATTTCAGAAATCAAATTTAAGAATACCGGCGCTGAGATGATTCTCAATCGGTGACCACCAATGCAAATTTCCTCAGATCCAGATACTGGAATAAAATCAAGAGACCAATCCCCTGCACCAAGTGCAAATCGCTTTAGGTCTAGTAGGACTTATCATTGACCTGATGAAAAAGACTTCAGTTCCTCTTATCAAACAAATAAGAATATAAGATTGTCAAACCCCAATTCTACATGAATTTCCTAATTCCAAAATAACCTGATCAAAAACACAATCATGTCATCATCATTACCTTAGTGCTGCAAAGGCTCCCACCTAAGGTGGGGTAGGGGGGGTCGGATGTACACAGCCTTACCTCTGTACTTTAGTACAGAGAGACTGTTTCCGAATGACTCAAAGTGAAAATCGCGTCGAAAATTACATAGACTGACTATTGCTTCATAACAAAGAAGCGCATACAGTGTAGTGAGCCATTTTGCTTTATTCCATCATATTTCCAAGCCAAAAAATAGTGAGTCTTTGGCTCCATTGCAAACGAGGCCCAGACCCAGACCATTGCAAACAAAAACACAATCATGTAATCAACTGATTTCTTAATCTGAGATCAGAACTAGCAAAAGAAAAAAAATTCAAGTCTTTAGATGTTTTTACTTGGGCTGTTTTCCGTCCCAAGCCAGACCAGGCTTAAACAGACCAGACCAGACTTCCGTAGTTATAAATAACAAAGAGACCAGACATTTACCAGACCAAACCAGACTTAAACAGACCAAACCATACCAGCAAATTACAGACCAAGTAAAAACATCCTTAAATGCCAGTGAACCACTAGTGCTTCAGTTATTACATGCTTTGATAAGTTTGCACAGTAGAATTTGTGTTTTGCTAACATAATTGTCAAAAAGAGAAAATATGTTAGTTACAGTTTAATAGGTACTCCCAGAAACAGTAATAGAAACAGTATATTAAATAGGATTTCTGAGAAGAACTACAGAATCTTTAGAGAAGAAATGGCAGAAACAACGGTAACAGGACTGATTCGAGAGTGTCTCCCTCCCCCAAGCAACTACCCAATTTCTGCCTAACCTTTTATTCTACGACCAATTCCTATTTACAATATTGTCTTATGGGCCAGCCAAAGCTAACTAGTGGTTGGCCCAGGATCCTCTAATACACTATCACAATTATTTAATATTATTCTTATTATTATTCTCCTCGGCCAATGATCCTATCATAAACAAAGAACAGCCCTTTTTAAGAATAAAAGTATGTAAATATCTACAAGGCATTTCATCATAAGATAAACCGAGTGCCTTCTGTTAAAGAAATCCAACCTTTTTTTATCCTGCGCATAGTATTTTCATGTGCTAAAAGAGAAGCATTGGGGTTGCATTCCTGGACTACCGAAAGTCCTAATGGGGCATATAGAAAAACAAAAGAGTATCAAGTTATGCAATTATGCAGGCAAATGAATCTCACATCACATCTATAAAAGAAAATGACATCTTTATAAACACTTGCAAATAAATTATATTCTACTTTCAACTTTCCAGCAAGTTGAAAAACAATAAAAATGTTATCAGCCATTTAGTTTAAAAGGGCATCCAAAGAATCTAAAAAAGGAAAAGTTCTGAGTTGTGACTACTGGATGAAATATAACATCTGATAACTATGGAAAAGTATAAAAAACACGCAAACATGAGGAAAAACACTTTCAAGGTGCTGATTAAAACAAAATTGTTAAGAAATATATGCATGCATATACTCTTTAAACTTCCAAATGATCCTTGAGTGTGTTACGGACCTAGCCCATACTAGGCCCATAGCAGTGCCATAAGCCCATGTGTAGAACTCGCTCCTAAAAGACCAGCCGATTAGGAGTAGGGAACACATTGCTTATAAGTCATCACTCAAGCCCATACTTGACCGGTATGGGATCTTAACAATACCCCACGCTTCGAAGAGCCAACGTCTATGTTGGTCACGGTTGGCACCCCCCAAGGCCCAAGCCACCACTCCATAGGCCACCACTTCGAGTGTCGGGACTAGGAAGATGGGGACGGCTCTGATACCAATTGTTACGGACCTAGCCCATACTAGGCCCATAGTAGTGCCATAAGCCCATGTGTAGAACTCGCTCCTAAAAGACCAGCCGATTAGGAGGAGGGAACACATTGCTTATAAGCCACCGGTCAAGCCCATACTTGACCGTTGTGGGATCTTAACAGAGTGGCTTAAGACAAATCATTTCATAAAAGAGGTAATGGTTGAGATTATTAGTGGATATCTCCTTTTGATTGCCTGGCTCATGTGCATTCACGGGCTTGCATGTGCCCCAGGAGAATATTCAAGTTCTTAAAGAGTCTAGGAACTCTGAGTCATTAAAAAAATATAAAATCCTAAAAAAATCAAAATAGTAACATGCAGCTCTAGCTTTCTTACCATCAACGTGATCATGATGGTGATGTGTTACAAAGACAATTAACTTTCTTGGCAGCACAGAAATAATCTCCCTCAGCTAATCCTCCCAGTGCCAGCATTTAGAGCAATGAAAGACAAATGGAGAAAAAAATAGTTAGAGTAAGTAGGCACCCAATGCTAACAGAATAAGCCACTAAATGGTAGATCATAAATAAGTAAAAAGCACAAACGAAAACTATTTATTCCACCTTTCTCTATGTGCCATGAGCCCATGACGGGGTTCGAGTCCACAACTACGATGCAGTGGAGACTCGACTAAATGACTGACCTATTACGGCAGTGGTTCACTAGGATAGTACCCACAACTTAGTCCAGAAGCAGTTGGATTTTGCTCTTGCTCCTCAGCCCCAACCAGGATCTGGCTTACAGCCTTACAGGTCACCGATGGGGACAGAGTTCCTGTTCTGGGTGTATGCTCATGGAGTCATAGCATTGTGTAAGCAATGCTTAGGCGTCCCATCAGAGCAGGGTTGGCCGCCTCGCTTGAAGAGCGAGGGGCAGATAATAGTGTCACACAGACATTGATTAGGCTAGACCTGATTTACTCACTAAATTAATTTTGACCAGGCAATCGAAACCACTCATTCCTAATTTAAATAGACAAATCAAACCGGAAAAAAAAAACCTAAAGATAAATGCCTATGCCTCTTATCGCTGCCCGCAATGTTTTCCTTTTCTTTTTTCCTCTTCATCTTTCTTTCTTCCCTTTCCTTCTTCATTTTTGGCAAAGCATACCATCCATGTGCATATTTGTGTAATTTTTACGATTGCTCACTTTGCATCTCAAGAACGCTCTTGCATCTGAATAACGCCCATTGGATGTACATTGTGCATAGTACATGCGGATGTACCTTATCCACTCTTCTTTCCTGCTTTTATTCTCTCTTCATTTCCAATTCTTCATTCATCTGTGTAGTTGACTTTTTTCTGTATGATCTTTTTTTCAGTTATTTATATGGCAGTCACTAATCATATCACTAACATTTGGTAAGATTTTGTACTTTAATTTTGTTGGAAATGGATATTAAATCCCTTTCCTAATCTTAGTAATTAGGTATTAGGGCATCCCCATCCATGAGTTTATTTGAAGATCAATTGGATGATGTGTAAGATTATTTTAAAAATTATCATTGTCAGTGAGATTATTTAGTGAGATTACTGAAAAAGAAAATCCGGTATCAAGATTCCAATCTCGGATTATTTAATGCATGTCCCAAAAAAACTGATTATTTGAGTATTATTGTTGACGAAGAGTTTTAAACTTTGAGATTATTTAAATTTTATTAAATAAATGTGGTGTGGCAATGATGTGTAATAAAAAAATCGTTTATTTAGAGAGCATGAATGGAGATGATCTTAGTAGTTCATATATTATATAAGGTAAATAAATTCAAGTACCCAAACTTTGGGAATGAGTAAACCCAAACTTCTACGAGTTGCCTTTTGCCAAATTTGACTTGATAATGGTTGTGAATTGGCTACGCAGGCTCGGCTCAATCCTTTGGGACTTCACCGACAATCTGCCACCATGTCGCTTATTATTTCATCTGATTCCCTTCAGGAATGGTCCTCTATCGCAGCCCCTACCTTCCAGTAAGAATCGACGGGCAGTGTTCAGATATGTTGGCACAGGGAATCACTCGGCCTAATTGATCCATCAAAGCGGAAATTTGGCATATTCTTTAGAATGCATAGTCATTGATCCATCAAATGACTGCAAAGCGGAAGGAATGTGGGAAGCTTAATCTCCTTGTTTTTTTAACTTTAGTTTTCTACATTCTTTGGTAAGTGTCTAGGTTTCTTACCGCAGTTGCATAATGCTCCTTTGCCCAATGGGCCAGCACGTTACGTCGTGGCCATTTCTCACCTCCTTTATGGAATGTTAGAACATGCCCTACAAATGCATTATTTGACTGAGATGTTGATGATGTGGATGAACTTTCAGTTCGAATCACTCTATTGAATGCGTCTTGAAGAGAAGAGACCATGTCACTAAACAAGACATGTGATTTGGTTGTTTCAAAATGGAATGCAAGACCTGCCAAAAAGCTCATGGATGCCATTTGTTCTCATTATTTTTCATGCACTTCGATGTCTTGACTAAATGCAGTTAGTGTATTAAGTCTTCATATGTTCTCTTGAAATCCATAAAATAAGTCGTAAGAGGCTTATCTTTCATTTCTGCTCGATAAAAGGCCTTGCAATCCTTATGGATATGGTTAAGAACAAGATTACTACCTTTGCCGGAATACATAAATTCCAACTAACCAAACAATTCCCTCACATTATCACAATGACATCCCACTACCTCATTCTCCGTTGATTTAAATCTGGATAAAAAATCTAGAATCATCACGAAGCCACACATCATTAGCAACTTTACCAATCTCCTCCTTTGGTGGTAAGTGGGTATATTTATCCATGCTCCGTAATTAACTTTTGCTATTTTTATTCCATTCAAGATAATTGGAGCCACAAAGTTTATTTTTAGTAATTTATAAGTTAAAGGGGATATACAGCACACATACAAAAAGTTAAAGGGGATAACAAAGGTCGATTATTTACTACCGCCAAGGTGTCTGTGTCAGAATGTGACCGAGGCATTTTTTTCCTTGTTCCTTTTCAGTCGGCAGTGAAGTGAAATCAGGATATTAATGTAAACTTACACCAAAATTTATAGTTCATTGACTGATAGACTAAAAATTTGGGGCAAGCGTGCCCAGCTTGGTCCACGCTCATCGCACCAGATTACCAGGCATTGTCGAATGTACCAAGCTGCATAGATACCATTTGAAACGAGACTATCAGGTGTCACCCAACGCACCATACTTGCACAGGTAGTGGACACTCAGTCGAGTCTATCGATAGTTTTCGATTGAAAGCTCCGGTCAGAAATGAAGCGTCACACGCCGGTACATGCAGCGGCTGCGAGCACTTCCGGCGGTAGGCGCACCAGATAAGGATGGAGGTGAGATAGGGTAGTGTTGACCAAGACTAAGGTTCTGAATAGAGGTTCCGGTTGATGGTGTGTTGACTGGGGTTCTGAATTGAACTAAGTTTCTGAAAGAAATAACTCTGTGTGAAACTGACTGAAATGTAGCAGAATTGCTCCAATACCATGTTAATAGTAATGAGAAGGGAAAGATTATATGTGTATTTTATTGGATGGTTTAAACTTTAAATCAATAGAAGTATACATTACAAAGATAAATATTCCTATAAGATTCTATACAATAAAAATATCCTAGAGTATATTCCCAAATTATTTCAAAGCATATTCCAACACTTATTATAATATATTTCAAAAGAAGTAGTAAAGAACTTGAATCTAATCTTGTACGGTTGTACCTCATCATAGAAAGCAGACTTGCAGCCTGGGTCTACTATCAAAGCTTCCCCGCGAACAGCAATGGTATCATCAGCGCATCCATTGCGATTCCTTTCGGGTACAAGCACAATTAAGTTTGTCGTGTGAAAAGGCTTCGCTGTTCTACTCCCCATTGGCACAAGTGTAAGGCCAGGAAGGTATTCCTCATATATTAGAAGACACAAAAGATTAATATGAAGAAACACAGACTAGAGAGAGTTAAACAAATAGCGTGGCATCCTGTTATGATAAGTCTATCATTCACACCACATCTTTGGAAGAAACTCAAGCAAAATTTGTGTACTTGCAAACCTGAAAATTCAAAGTTTGAGAGATTTTACAGTTTCCAGATTCTCTTGCAGCATTGAGAAGACCAACATTAACCAATGGTCCTATACGGTCCTCACTGGGCTTTACGTCTATAAGCATGTTAAGGCACATTTCAATGCTCATCCACTTAGAAATCTCTGAACGAATAAACAGGAAATGCATTATGATATAATATCAACCTGTGTTCTAAATTAAGTTCTGATGTCGGCCTCAGGACTACTGGGAGAAAATAGCAATGAGATTGAACCTGTTTAGAGCAATAATAAGACTTGTGCTATATGATATTCGGACATAATCTTCATTGCCACATTAATGAGGCTTAATTTGAGACTTAAGATATACGTAGTATTACTATACAAATTATGCGCTGCCCAATTCCAGCAAGGGTTTAACATTAGGATTGCATAGGAGTATACTATCAATGTCCTGCAATTGAACATTCCAGTTTCTTCTAAATTCTAAAATGTCAAATGCATATTCTACTTCTCTTTTCAAGTGTCAACTCAGGCAAACTTTACTTAATACTTTAAGACATTACTTAAAATAAGATCCTTATTATTAAGCCAAATAGTATATCATATAGGTTGACAAAAAAATTATCTGTTTTGAAAATTTGAGGTCATTTGTAGCCAAAGCCACGTCGAATACCAAGGAGAACAAAAAGTTTCTCTGAACTGTGTCTAAGATCTTTAACGGCAAAATCAGGCAATTGTACAATAAACTCCATAGAAAACATGGCATGGCCCAGTTTTTACCAAGGTTGTTAAAATCGTATTTTTAGATCGAATCGGGACAAGGGTTTAAAAATCGAATCGTAAAATCGAATCGTAAATCGTAAGATTTTATAAAGGAATTAAATGTATATTACTAAAAATATTATGCTAAAGAAAACATATAGTTTAACATTCATTAGTCAAATTATTGCAAATTTAAGACTATAAGTCAAATCATTATATGCTCAAGTCTTACAAAGATGTCTTAATTAAAGTGAACAAAATAATTGATGATATGTAACCAAAGAACAAAAGTCACTTAACTCCGTATAATCAAGTTAAAATAGTACTAGCATAACTATATATGTGTTTACTAAATCAAGTCCTATAGGTGCGTTTTGATACTTTATATTCCTATTAATTAATCAACAAGGTAGTTATTGGTGAGTTGCTAAAGCTAAGTGCTAACTAGGTGGATAGTACTATACGTATTTTCATTTACCAGCTTAGATCCAAAGTTTTTAAAAAAATTCTCTCTTCTCAAATGCAACGAACATTCCCAGTTTCCCACACCGGAATCATAAGGCGAACTGCCGAACTACCATCCCTCTTCGGCTATATAATGCTAGTACCTTACTCACTTTAAACAGGCAGCAACTACTTAGTTGTTTACACGACTAATGAATTTGGGCCGTGTTTGGCTTTAGTTGAACACAAATTCTTAAAGGCCTGAGCAAATTGGGCTTTAATTTGCTTAGTTTAAAATTAATTTTTAAAGTCGTAAAATCGGTGAAAATCGCGATTTCAGCGATTTTTTCCCGAGTTTTTAACGATTTTATACGATTTATGATATTTCCGATTTTGTGTACGATTCAAATCTTTTTAGTGATGTTGAATCGTAAAATCGTACGATTTTACGATTCAACTCGCGATTTTAACAACCTTGGTTTTTACACTAATATACCAAAGGGAGAATGTGGTTATTAAAGAAGAGGCGGATAATACCAGTTGAGTTTTCATGTTTATGAACCAAGGTTCCAATAATATAGACCGTTTTTGTGGGTACCCCAGGTCCATATTCTGGCTCTTCCACACACTTGTGAAATCTCCACTTAACCTCTGAAGCCTCATCAAATCCAAGTTGTCCCAAAACCTACACAAATCCATAAAAATATAAAGAAATTGACCTATATAGGGATAAAATTGTTTGGGAATTTTTAAAATAGAAGTGTGATAATTTAATTCCCTAAATAAGAGTAAAAACTATCAAGCTTGAAAAATACTGTCATGTTTAAAGCTTGGTAATGCCAAAAACACAGTACATTTCAGAATGGTTGCAACGTACTCCTATTTAAGGAAGAAAAACATATCAGTCCTGTTTTAAAATTTCCAAACATTTGTACTCCTATTTTGGGAATTTTCCCAAAAATATATTACTGCTGATCCATTTAAAAATAATTATTATTATGGTGTTACAATTTAAATTTTTTTATAGTTGACTAGTGGACATCTTTCCGCGCTAGTGGTCCCCAGATAAAGGGATTTGCAATCAAGCTTCTTAGTTTAACAAAGAATGCATCAGGATGTGAGAAGTATAGGAGTGTATTTCAACATGTAAGAATAATTATTCTAGTGACTAGTGTAGGTCAATTTCAATTTTACTTCATGTACTTAACTAACCAAAATATTTAAACTACTTGGCAGTTGCATTCCAAGAAGAGAAGTCATCCAGGATACAATCGCCTTAATGATTTGGTTTTTGTTAAGTACAATAGCTTTGAGACATCATTGGGAAATGTGTAATTATATTGATCCTATTTGCTTGAAATACATATACATAGCAAATGAATGGTTGACCAGTACACTTGACAATGCGAAATGAAGAGTTGGTCAATGATAACAGAGATAATTTGAAATGGAAGACATTGCAAAGTTTTCTGGTATACATGATACATCATATTCTCATAGGCACAATTCCAAACGGAAAGACAAAGCGAAAAGTTTTAAGTCCAAGAGAAAAGAAAAAGCCTCCATCCATATACTTGTTGATGAAGATGAGGATGAAGAAGATGTTGGAGAAGAAGAAGACCACTTTGACGTGGAGGATGAAATGATGGAGTGACGATGATTCGTAGAATCATTTTTAATGAAATTATGGCATTGTGTGATGAATGTCTTTTACTTTCTGCCGCATTAGTATTACTCTTATGACTTTTATGACTAGTTATGCATTTTTTGCTTAATTGTGTGTTGAATATTTCATATCTTTATCCCGTACAAGTATTACTCTTATGACTTTGATGCCTACTTATGCATCTTTTGCTTAATTATGCATTACATATTTTATTCTTATATTTTATTATAAACATCGCTTTTTGTGAAAAACTCTTTCTAGAACTTGCTAGGCGCTAGTCGGGTGGTTGAGGGGCGCATTAATCAGACCGGCTAAGGCAGTTTTTAGAACAATGGTGAGAAAGCTACCTTTGTTTAGCACTTCCGCTCTTAAATGAAGCCCCACCTCATCGCTTTTGTGCACTTTTTTGCTTTAATTATGCATTATGTATTTTATTCTTATATTTTAAAAGCAAAGATTCAAGTATGAAGGGAGTACTATTTTCATCCATTATGAACTTGATCCTTCTCATTCGACCGAAGTGAATTGGATGGCACTGGTGTTACCTACTTACCTGCGTGTAACAGTTGATAGGCCGGGTCATGTGGCAAGTCACAAGTGGTAAAATGCGAGTTGGTGGATGGATGTGAGTGAAACTCCATATAATCTAAACCCAACCCATTGTCATATGTAGTTCGTTAAGTGACCAACAATGGCTATTGTCATGACTTTTTTGCTTTAATTATGCATTATGTATTTTATTCTTATATTTTAAAAGCAAAGATTTAAGTATGAAGGGAGTACTATTTTCATCCATTATGAACTTGATCCATCTCATTCGACCGAAGTGAATCGGATGGCACTAGTGCGTGTAACAGTTGATAGGCCGGGTCATGTGACAAGTCAGAAGTGGTAAAATGCGAGTTGGCGGATGGATGTGAGTGAAACTCCATATAATCTAAACCCAACCCATTGTCATATGTAGTTCGTTAAGTGACCAACAATGGCTATTGTCATGGGCAGTCGCAACATAGCTAATGTCTGCAGGTTGTTACGGTTGTGATAGTGATAATGAATGGTGTTGAAGATTAGTACCATATTTCACGCTTAATTTGGTGAAACTTTTATGACAATGCTTTTTTATTTTTAACAAGTGTTAGAGTAGAACAAAGCATCATATGTACGAAGCGAAATATTTACTGGCGATTACGTGTGCGTGTGCTCTGTGCAATTGATATGTTTTGACATTGTTGAGTTTCATTTGCCTTGTGTACTGTGTCAGTTTGGCCATGAGCAGGTCATTCCAACCGCTGTCGACACATGCGTAGATCTTCATAAGCTGGACAGGCATGGGGAGCCTATGAAGGATAGGTCGCTCAGACATGTTCGATACGTGACTATATGGGAGAGGCGAGCGGAGCTTGTTGTGACTGGGACGCCGACATTACTCCCGTTTGTTTCTGTAGACTACATGAGATGGTATTACAGCATCACGCGGTTGTTTGTCTCTCCTTCTTTCAGGCTCCCTACTCACCATTATCGGCATAGTTCCATGGCATTGCAGTTGACGGTGAGTGTGCTACTAATTACTAAAGTAATTCATGTTTTTATGTAACATTTATTTATTTGAAAATAATTATAATTCATGTTTCACAATTCAGACACAGGCTTTGCAACGTATACATGAGCGAGCGACTGACATAATGAGTGATACGCATGACGTGGACACGTACGGTCAGGTTCTGACGGGCATTGCTTCCTTGTGTTCGGATGTGTTGGGGCGAGTGGACTATGGGCATCTTATACATATGACCCCCTCTCAGGATTCTATGGCATCGACATTTACAGCAGCAGCAACTTCTACATCCCAGAGTCAGCGTGACATAGTTGTTCTTCAGCCACGACAGCAGCGTAGGCGTATGCGTCAAGAGCCACATCTCCATGACCAAGACGATAAAAAATACCATGAAAACTTGTAGTCTGTCTCCATTATTGGACTTATTCATGTACCCTGAATGTGGTAGAAGTTTTTCTATGTGTGAGACACTTTACTTTTTTACGTATGTTCACCTGCAAATTATTGAATATTATGTTATTAGTTACTTATTCATTTGTTTATGATGTGTTGATGTGTTTGGTTATGCATATTGGATGTTTGTACTGTGTTTTTATATTGTGTTTGTGATCAGGCGCATTGCTATGTATCTTTCTAATTGTGTTCTGTTTTTGTATTTGATTTGTAAACTTACTGGTGTTGCAGGTGCAGGGGAAAGTTGTCAACCCGTTTGGCGACTTATAAGTCGTCATCCCGATTGGCGACTTATAAGGGAGTGTTTGCAACAACTTAAAAAAAAACATTTCTCAAAAGTGCTTGCGTATGAAAAGTGCTTTCCCCTTTCTATTACACAAAAAGCACTTATTTTACCAAACACTATCAACTTTTACTTTTCAAAATCACTTTGTTCTCAAACACTATCAACTTTTACTACTAATCACTTTTTCCTTACATCTCCAAAAGTGTTTTTTTAAGCAGAAGCAGTTGCAAACACTCCCTAAGTCGCCAAACCGTTTAATGACTTTCCCCAACCCGCGTTAAGCCCATCAGTAGATTGGTAAAGACTTTTAACCCAACATTATTTTGGTAAATACTTATTAAATTTGCATTAATTCGGGAAAAAAAACTCTTTTTTCATAAAATAAACGATCATATACCAAGCACCAAAGTGATCAAGTCTGGTGACATTATATGATCGTATAAAAGAATAGTCAATGCATACCCTTCTAACTAGTTTAAACAAAATCATATGTGATTTTTATATTTGATTTAATTATATACTAGTGATTAATTAGGGAGGAGACTATTTTGCTCATTATAAAAGCTATCAATTTCATAGATTATCAAACATTGTATTTAGTATCCTCACTACCTTGCACGGACTATTTCAAAAAATATATATTCTTGCAGCTTTTGTTCCCAAATTATTTTCCTTCAAGTACCGTACAGATAATTCCTTCATCTCAACAAAATGACATTCTAGTTTATATTCAAGTCGTGCAATTATTTTTACATTCGCACATTCACAGAAGAAGGAGAAGAAGAAAATGTGAAATTAAAAATGTACTCCTATCAAATTGAGGACAAGTCGCCATACTTTTATTTGAACAAAACTGTGTATTGGGTCATTTAATTACCTGAATAAGAGCTGAACTGAGGTCGAGTTGAGTGGACCCGAAATCGCCCAACTCACAATCTTCGACATGGACGACAGCCTTAGACGCCGGCGGCGATGTCAGCGGACGAAGCTTAGCGGACGGCAAGTCCCAGAGGTCGGAGTCGATGAAGGAGTCGTACTCTGAGTCATTGAATTTGGGGGGTGGGGTCTGTTTCACCAGAAGAAATTCTGCGGGGTTCAACGGGTTTTTTATTATCACAGCTACACTGTGAGTAGCCATCTAAAATCAAAGATAGCAAACGTGGTGTTTGGTGATTTCGAGGGTTATACTTCCAGTTCTAGGAAGACCAGTGACTCTGCGAGAAGCATTGCCGGGCAAGTTGTAATCGTACGGAGTATCAATTTTCTTTCCCATTTGTCAAATTAATTGTCTTATTTTCCATTTTAAAAATAAAGGAGTGTTTGGGTTTGCTTAAAAAAAACGCTTTTCAGCTTTTGGTTTAAAAAAAATTGAAAAGAGTGTTTTTAAATGACAGCTTCTGCTTAAATTAATCACTTAAAAGCTAAAAGCTGGAAGCAGGTATAAGGGTGTTTTAAACTGCTTCTCACTTTTTCTATTACACAAAAAGTACTTATTTTACCAAACACTACCAACTTTTACTTTTCCAGAATCACTTTTTTCTCAAACACTACCAACTTTTACTATTAATCACTTTTCCCAAAATCACTTTAAAAATCACTTTTTTAAAGTTGAAGCAATTGCAAACACTCCCTAAATCAAACTTACAAACTTATGAATTTTTAAAATGTGTAAGAAATCCCTCATGTTCGGAGAAAATTTACTCTTATTTACTTTAAATTAATAAAATAAATTTTAAAAAACACCAAAACAAATTAAATTTGAAATTAAAACTAAAAAATTTTAAAAATGCACATGAATAATACTTAAAATATGGTCATGGACAAAGAAGAGACCTCTTTTTCTAACTTCCAAAAATGTGACTAATAAACTCTTACTTCCCTAAATTACCCTTCCTGTTTAACCGTTAATAACTTATTACTACCTGCGCATATGTTTGCTCCACCGGCCCACTACACGTACCATTTCAGTGCTTTCACTGCTTTAAGCCTCTTGCTGGGACACTATTATTTAATTTCTCTTTTTCTTTTAATATTATAATATGTATATGTCAAAATAAATATTCAATATTTCTCTAGTGACTATCGCTCCAATTATTATCGTTCCAATAATCACCATCTAAGTTTTTATCGTTTAGTTATTACCGCTCTAGTAAATATCATCTCAGCTACCACAACTAAAGTGACTATCGTCTCGATTACTACGGCCTCAATTACCACCGTCTCAGTTACTATTGCCTCAGTGACCACCGTCTCAGTTACTATCGGCTCAGTGACCACCACCTCAGTTACTACTGTCTTAGTGACAACCGTCTCAGTTACTTCCGCCTCAGTAACCACCGTCTCAGTTACTACCACCTTAGTGACCACTGTCTAAGTTACTACCGGCTCAGTGACCACTGTCTCAGTTACTACCGACTCAGTGACCACCGCCTCAGTTACTATTGCCTCAGTGACCTCCGTCTCAGTTACTACTATACCACCTCAGTGACCACCGTCTCAGTTACTACCGGCTCAGTGACCACCGTCTCAATTACTACCGGTTCAGTGACCACCATCTCAGTAACTACCGCCATAGTGACCGTCATCTCAATTACTACCGACCCAATGACAAACAATACAATGACCAGTTACCCAATTAATTACACTTATATGACCTGTCAGATACACTTATCTGACTCGTTAATTACAGTTACTCGATCCGTCAATTACAATTACTCAACCCACCAATTACAATACTCCATCAGTTTACCTACAATTACTCGATTCGCCAGTTACAATTACACAAATGGTCAACCACTGCCCGGGACCACCACCTTGCCCGCAGACGACGACCACCACCATCCCTAGCCCCCTCCCCAGCCATATTCCCTGACCCGATCCAGCAACTTCCCCAGCCCCTACCAGCCCTTCTCAGCCCCATCTCCCTCCCAAAACCACTGCACCCCATCCCACACCCACCCCTGCTCCTCGCACACTTGCTGCAATGGGCCAACGATGGAGAAGAGCAGCGAAGTGAACCGTTGCCTCGCCACTCTAGCCGCATCGCGACCTAACCCGCTTTCCTTGGCCTGATTCGCGCCGCTGCATCTAAACCCTAGTTGGTCGTGTCTTCGCCATAGCCGCAAATCCTAGGTCCGCCGCGATCGGACAGGGAATAGAAGAGGAGAAGATTAAAATGGAGGTGGCGTCGGAGATGATGGCGGTGGGGCGTGGTGTCATCTATGGAGACGGCAGCACGGTAATCCCATTGCTGAAGAAGAAAGTAACGATGATGGAGATTGCGGTAGATGTTGTGCGGTCAAAAAGAAACGGAAGAGGGAGTTGAATAGTTGAATTGAATGGGATAAAGGGTATACGGGTCCATTTATGAATAATAAGTGACTTTTTTGTCTAATTTTAGAATTGGTCTTACTTTTATCTAAGGAGAAGTTGGGGCTGTTATTCTCGTCATTTTTTCGTAAGAAATCCCTCATGTTCGGAGAAAATTTACCCTTATTTACTTTAAATTAATAAAATAAATTTTAAAAAACACCAAAACAAATTAAATTTGAAATTAAAACTAAAAAATTTTAAAAATGCACTTGTGTCTGATTCTCCATTTTGAGTTTTTTCCCGAAATAATGCTAATTAAATAAATAATTCCCAAAATACTGCTGGGTTAGAAATAGTTTCCAAAATACTGTTGGGTTAACCGTGGTTAAGGAAAGCCGTCACTTGAAGTGGCGGCTCTTCTCTTGCGGCACATTTTGTACATATATAAAACGTAGTATGTTTCAAGATTTTTTTAACTATCTTCCCGATTGAGTTTTGAGCTGAAATTTGGTATGAATAAACTAGACTTGATGAAGAACATACTCAAAAAAATTTATCAAAAAAATTCACCGGGAAGGCCCTCTGATGATGTTGTCCGCACGGGGTTCCGGTCAGAACTTCGTGACAGGAATGAGACATTTTTATGAAATTTGAGGGGCTTCCGAGTCATTTTTTTTGATAAAATTTGGTGATCGTGTTCATCCTAAAGTGTAGGTTATGTTCACTCAATTTCAGATTAAAATGAAATCAAGAAGTTAGTTAAATTATTTATTGGAGAAAACTGCATTTTTATTAGGCCGAGAAATTGTGCAATTTTTAATAATTTATTTAACTAACTTCCCGATTGAATTTCAATCGAACATTTGGTGACATATCTACATTCCATGGGAACATGCTCACCAAATTTCATTAATAAATTCGACCCGGAAATAGTTCAAATGAAATAGGCCTAAAATTGCAACTTTTAGATGGCACGGGACAAATTACATGAACATTTTCAGAAGGCACGGGACAAAATTTTTGCCAAGAAAATTTCAGAAATTATGCAACTAAATCGTTTGGTATGTTATTTCCCGGAAGCAATATTTTATAATTTCTTATTGTTTCATATTTGTTGATAATTTGTCCATAAGTCATCATGTTTTAGTTGCATGTGTTATATGTGATATGCATTTCCATTTTTACATTACTTTGAGCATTTCTATCAATAGTTTGTATGTTGTAGGATTACACATGCTTCTCTAGATTATAGAATTTGAATTTACCATTGCCTTCCAGATATAAGTCCAGGTGAATTGGGCGAAACTGTGATTGTGCAATTGGAACTTAGAGCAATAGTACCGGTTGATAAAGTTGATACGAGTGTTGAAATTGTTTCCAATGGCCATAAACTGCTCAAAGAGAGTTCATATTTTTTTAGCAAGTGGAAGAGAAAGAATTGTTTGTTAGGGCATAATGATAGTGGTGATAGCTCGAATCTTCAGTTGGTTCCTTTCAATCGGGAAGTTAGTTAAACAAATTTTTGAAATTGCACAGTTTTTAGGCCTAAATATGCATGTTTTTTCATTAAATAATTTAACTAACTTCTTGATTTAAATTTAATCTGAAATTTGGTAACATAACCTACACTTTAGGAAGAACATGATCACCAAATGTCATCAACAAAATCAACTCGGAAGCACCTCAAATTTCATAAAAATGTCCTATTCCTGTCACGACGTCCTGACCGGAACCCCCATGCGGACAACACCATCAGAGAGTCTTCCCAGTAGAATTTTTTGATGAAACTTTTTGAGCATGTTCCTCATCAAGTCTTGTTTATTCATACAAAATTTCAGCTCAAAATTCAATAGGGAAGATAGTTGAAACATTCTTGAAACATACTGCGTTTTATACATGTACAAAATATGTTGTAAGAAAAGAGATGCCACTTGAAGTGGCGGCTTTTGTACTGTAAGAGAAGAGCTGCCACTTCAAGTGGCGGCTTTTCTTAACCACGTACAGTATTTTGGGAATTATTATTAACCCAACAGTATTTTGGGAATTATTTAATTAATTAGCATTATTTCGGGAAAAAACTCCTCCATTTTATTGAATTGTTTTTATATCACAGTTTAATATTATTAGTATAAAATATTGTTTCAAAACTTTACTGTACATTTTAGATTCTTTAGAAAAAGTGTTAACATATGTGTTGCAATGTAAAACTAATAATTTTTTGCATTTTTTGCTCTATAAAAATTATATCTTTTGTATGATGATAAATAGTCCAAAATTATAAAATAGGGAATTTAATTTTATTAAGGGTAAACAAAATCAAAGAATGTTATCTAAAAAAATGTAACAATGTGTTCAAATTTTCACAATAAGACTAAAATTAATATTGGTGAATTTAAAGTGTTTCATTTACAAAAGAAAAAAAATCAATTTAAAATTAAAGAGTTAATATTTTAACATAATAATAAATCTTTATATTTAAATTTCGAATTTATAATTTATTTTTGGCATTTTTTTAAATTTATTTTATCTATTTAAAGTCAATAAGAGTATATTTGCTCCTTAGTGAGAAAATGAGAGGTACTTTTACACTTTTTAAAAGTTTCAGGGGTATATATGCACTTCAACCTATACTTCAAGGACATATACTCATGTTCTGAAAGATAGAACATGAGTCTATTTGTTCTTCCACCCCTACTATGGAGGTCTATTTGTACATTTTCGCTCTCTTTAAAATATTGATACAAAAAACAAATTTGTCCAAAAGGTTGAATCCCCAACCCCAAGGACCCCCCCCCCCCCCCATGGCCCACGCCCCGACCCGACAGAGCACATGGGAGGTTGTAATCTACATTGACATCATGTAGTGACATCTTAGCCGCCGGCACACCGCTTGTCACATCTGCCGATGGCCGACGGCGGCCACAGTGACACCTCCAAGTGACACCGCCTAAGTGACAACACCGCCCAACTAGGGGTGGCAATGGGTCGGATTTAGACCGGGTGGGGGCTCATCCACGTCCACCCGTTAATTTTTCATATTTCATCCACCCGTCCATCATCCATTAAATATTACATCCACATCCAATCCATCCGTCATGAACGGGTTATTGGGTGGATCGGGTGAATATAAATTGTCTAACTTGAAAGACAAAAAATAATTTACAAGGAGAAATCATAACAATTAAAAACCAAAAATTAAGAATTCATTAAATAATAACAACAAAAACTTGAGTAATTAAGTATATTACAATCATTAATTCACGGCGGATAAATAAAAAACTGATTGTCAAACAAAATAGATATAAACTTCTTCAAGCTGTCATTCATTCATTCTGCATTTTTGCATCGCCACAAAATCATTTTTGCAGCTCAACTGTTACCTTTTGAAACTATCCAATTGTCTTTAATAAACCAATTCACATATATGTGTTTTCTCCAATAAAAAATACATATATATTAATATTAATCATTATACATATTATTAAATAAATATTATATATTTATATGCGGGTTAGCGGGTGTGGGTGGATGGAGCGGGGTGACGGATCGGGTGATGGGTTGGATGATTGTTCGTCCACACCCGATCCAACCCATCTTTCAATCCACCCGTCATCCATTTTTCATCCATAGTTTTCGGGTTTTCGCCCACATTTTCGGTTTGGGTTAACCGGGTATCCGCGGGTGTGGGTGATATTGTCAACCCTACGCCCAGCCCACACCACTACCAGACCCACCCATCTGAGTCTCTTTGACTCTCCCTAGCCCCAGTGGTGAGTCCTCAGCACCGCTGACCCTATCCTCACACCCCTAACCCGACTCCCCAGAACCTACACCAAAATGCATGGCCAGCAAGCTCCCCTCCATAGCTCCCCGGTCTCGCCCCGCCACACTACAGTCTATCTGCCCAGCGCCGCCCAACAACCTGCCACAACTGGATCCGCCCCAGCACCGCCCAACAACCCTCCACAACCGAATGTGCCCCCTACACCACCCAACAGCGCATCCTTACCCCCAACAACCACCACCCTCCTCACCTAAGCCCCTCTGAAACTCAGCCCAACCACCTCCCTCCTCACCACAGATCCGAAATCGACCACATATCTGAAGTTAGTGAACATAGATTAGGAAGAGAAGCAGCGAAGAAGAAAATGAAGAGAAATCGTCGTCACTTCTTATCGGCGTCGTCGTATTGGTGGTCTTCGTCTGCTTCGATGGTGTCGCGTTGGTGGTCGACTCATGGTCGATGATGAAGGTGAGAAGCAGGGACCGAGTTACAAAAGAAGGGGATGCAGTGAAGGAGAGAGGGCATGTGACTTACTTATGGGATAAGATAAGAGTGGTCGCTGGAGTCAGATTTTTGTCTATCTTTAAAATGGTCATATTTTTAGGTCCTATATTGATAGGACCTATCAATATAGGAAGCGGCCACAGATGCTCAGAATTTAGTTTCATGGACATCTATGGTCTATCTTTCGGGACCCGAAAGAAACACGAATTATCAATCTGGGACCTGAAAGATGAAATGTATCAGTATAGGACCCGAATGATGAAAAACTATCAATTTAGGACCTAACACTTCATAGATTTTGATTTATTTAATTTTTTATTAATTCCATTGCAAATTTGAGGACTTTTTCTTCACAAAAGTTTATTAGTTTAATAAATCTAAATAATATTAAATTTTTTTTAAAAAAAAAGTTAATAAAATTTATGGAAATTTAGGTCCTATATTGATAGTTTTCGATCATTCGGGTCCTAGATTGATAATTTTCCATCATTTGGGTCATATATCGATGCATTTGATCTTTCAGGTCCTGGATTGATAGTTTGTGTATCTTTCAAGTCTTGAATTGATAAAATTCTTTTTCTTGTCCATCTAAACCCTACAAGTAATATTTTTGTCATTATTTCTAAATAATAATGCTACTCAACAACCAAGTAAAGATAAAAAAAACATATCATCATTATATTATATAAAAGTAAATTCTAGTACTCTGCATTATATAAAAGCAAAATGTTTTTGAAAATAGTCTTCTCTTCCAAAACCCCTAGAATAAAGTGGTGCACATAGATGCATTTGATACAATCCTAAAAGAAGGAATCTTCAAGTAGATGGCAATATAGCATTCGAAATGATACATTGATAAAAATTGAGAAGTAAAAGATTAAACATGATCTATACTAGAAAAGTTAAATAATACTACCCATGTCCTAAATTGATTTGCAAAGTCAACTTCTTTTGTCAAACAGTTTCATTTTATTCACTTAATTAGGATATGAACTTTTAATTATATTCTAATTTGAATTGTGCAATTTTATAAAGATTTAGAGATTTTAGTGTAATTTCAGAATATGTAAATTTTAATTACTAAAAGTTGAACTAATTATCAATAGGGAGGATTTAACTTCAACATTGGTTAACAAAAAAATGTTAATTTTACAAATCAATTTGGGTATACATCATCTATGGTACAAAGTTGAATAGTAGAAAGTCAAAGAGTAAAAATAATGCAAATGGCAATTGGACTTGAGGCATCTTCAGCTTCAGTAACACTTTATTAGTTAGTAGTAAAAACATGCCTGGATCAAATCCCGTCGAAAAAAAATGAAAAAATCAGCTCATCAACTCCGGCCAGCCGTGTCCAAGGAACCTCATTGCAAACGCACACCGTTCAATCCTTCTACTCTTTTCTTTCATTTAAAGTTTTGAGCTGCTGAGGAGAAAAGCAAATAAGAATACAACTCTAGAAGTATAAGCAAAGTCTAGACTTCATGTAGTTTCTTGACGTCTATCGTACAAATAAGCAAGAACCTGCCCAGCAATGGATCTCTCCAATCTCCATAGCTAATCCCTGATCTTCAAAGTTATTGTCTTTCCGATATAGAAAATCTGATTTCAAATATTGTGTGGGTATTTGTGAAGGTGACCACGTTACATGTCAAGTGGAATGCCATATAGATATCAGATTAAGGAAAACAAAGATTACTACTAGTATACAACATCTGCTATTTAAATACAACTTTTGCCATCTAAACTTAAAACATAGGTGCAGGGATGAAGTTTTAAAAACAACTTAGCGGGGATTAGGTCTTTGATAGCTTAGTGAAATGAAGGGCTGAATGAAATTTTCTTATAGTACTCCCTCCGTCCCGTTGGAATGTTCTCATTCACTATTCATTGGTCAACTTAGGTCACTCCTAATCTTTTACTTTATATATCAAATTTTTATCAAATTGAACTTTTCTTGATCAGGCTTGATAGCGGTTTTAATGTAGTTTCTAAACATGTAAATTTTATTTACTAAAAATAAGCGGAGTGTGAACAGGGATCGAGTTGCTTTATCGTCAGTCAAGCATCGTAAACCGAACGGGAACATTCCAACGGGACGGAGGTAGTATTATATAGGAAAGACCTGAGGTAGCTAAGACTAACAAAAATAAGGTTAGCTAGAGTATAAGAAACCCTGACTTCAAAAACAGATTACGCCAGTTTCATTTAAAATAGAACTTTACAGAATCATACAGAGTATTAATATATTATAGTATCATTGCTAAACTTCAGCCATTCTACTGATTGACTCATACAATTTTTTGTTGACAAAAAATTGATACTTAATTCGTTTGAGGGAATTGCTTGAAGTTTTGTTAGTTTTAATGTGACTGTAGTTTAGATTTACATCACTCTTATGTAATTGCAAGTTTTTATAAATTGATATTAGTGAAAATGAGGTTGTCAATCGTTTTATTTGGAAAATTTTGTATAATATATGGAGTATAATCTAGGTAAGATATTAGTAGAGTTTATCCAATTTCAGCAATTCATTGAATATACAATAGGAGTTGATAATACACAATACGTGAGATATTGTCAATTGCTGAATATCTAATTTCAGCAATTCCATTTGGGACCATCTGCAAGTAAAATATTGGTAGTTACCGATTTCGAACTAATGACGATCTAAACAAACAAATTGATCAGACAGTCTTTTTGAAGGATCGGTACCTATCATTGCGCGCTGTTAACTTTGGCCATTTTAACAAATGGCTTGCCCTTCGTTTAACTGGGAGATCTGAAAAATACAGATATCATAAACATTATTTCTGTTTAGATCTTATCTACTAACATTATATGAAAAACAGAATGATCTTTCACTTTTCATTAAATTTTCTTGATGTGGGATATTTTTTTATCCCACATCAACTCATCAAGAAGAATAATGAATAGTGAAAGGTCATTGTGCATCAAAATTAGATGATTGCCCATTAAAGGGGTTCTGCCCTCAGTTTAAAACTGTGTGCGCAGGCATGCTACTTATTCAATGTCACAATGACTAAGAAGGATGAGACTTACTGATTTGACAATCCGTGCCTTTTTCCAGTCCACTGGCATTATGCAATTTTATGTTCATTTGTATGTCACCAATAGTCTCTGCATGAACAGGAGCCCTCTTTAAAGTGATGAAATCTATTGGCATCTCTAAGAATGATCTCCCGTCCTGTGACTTTAGCTATTAGCTTTATAGCAGAATGGCAATCCCCACAAACCCGAAGATTTTTCATAACTCTTATGGCCACTCCTTCTGGCAGCTTAAGAAGTCCATACGCCACAGCCAACCTCTCACTGTGATAGCGCAAGCTCTGCGCCCTCTCCTCCTCTTCCAAATCATGAAGAACAAAGCTACCATCCGGACAATATCCAGCTTCTCTTAACATGGAACCCAATTTATCCAACATTTTGGTAATCATTTGATGTTCGGGGTGGGGCTTGCTCTCTCCACCGGTGAACATATGCACCTTCTTCTCCACCTCAAGCCAGCTGCAAGCAGGTGACTTAATCAACTTCCTGGACCTCATGTCTTCTCGGATTTTTGCAACATCGGCCCACATACCCTTTGTAGCATAAATATTAGAGAGAAGGACATAAGAGCCTGATTTTTGGGGCTCGAGTAGTAGAAGCTCTTTTGCTGCAACTTCAGCCAGGTCTAGATTCATGTGCATTTTACAAGCATTAAGCAAAGAACCCCATATAACTGCATCGGCTACCACAGGCATTTTTTCTATCAAACCCATCGCCTCAGTCAAGCGACCAGCTCTACCAAGTACATCTACCATACAAGCATAATGTGCAGTTTCTGGCTCTACTTGGTACTCTGACTTCATGGAGTCAAATATATCTTCTGCTTCTTTCACCTTTCCAGTGTAGCTGCAAGCAGTCAGAAGTCCCACAAAAGTAACCACATCGGGCGCAAATCCCTGCAAACACATTTCTCTGAAAAAATTAACAGATTCTTCTCCCAAACCGTTTTGAGCATAACCTGTTATAATAGAATTCCACATGACGGTATCTTTGGAAGATGATCTGTCAAAGACTCTTCTTGCCCTGACAAGATCGCCACATTTAAAATACATTGTAATCAACACCGAAGAGACGAACACATCTTCATCAAAGTTGGATCTGATCAATGATGCATGTACCTCTCTACCACAATCAAGACTTGCAAGACTTGCACAGACAGAGAGTATGCTAATTAAGGAAGGAAAATTTGGACGAACACCTTTACTTTGCATCAAACGAAATAAGCCGAGTGCATTCAATTCATAGCCTTTCCTTTCATAAACCTTAATCATAGCACTCCAAGTTCCGCCATCCTTCTCCTTTGTAGAATCAAATACCACCCTTGCCTTTTCAATCTCCCCATTCTGTCCTACACCGAGTATTATTGCATTACAAGCAGCTGTTGGTTTTAAAGGCATCTCTTTGAACAACTTCCATGCCTCTTCTATTCTTCCATTCTGAGTGTATCCAAGAAGCATAGATGTCCACGACACCTCATTCTTCTCAGGCATGACCTCAAAAAGCTTCCTGGCAATGTCTACTCTGTCATTTTGAGCATATCCTGTGACCATAGATGTCCATGAAACTACATTCTTTACTTCCATGCTATCAAAGATCTCACGTGCCTGGTCTACCCTCCCCGCTAGACAATACCCACCAATCATGTTAGTCATTGACACCACATCCTTCACTGGCATCATGTCATACAGCCTTTTTGCCTCATCAATCCTTCCATCATGAATCAACCCTCCCATCATTACTGTCCAGGACACCACATTCTTTTCTGGCATTTGCCAGAAAAGGCTTTCAGCCTGATATATCAACCCTTCCTCAACATACCCTCTAACAAGAGCTGTCCACGACACGACATTCCTTTCAGGCATTCTTCCGAACACTTTTCTTGCCTCATCTACCATCCTATTTTTCACGTATCCTGAAATCAACCCATTCCAAGACACAATATTCCTTTTAGGCATTTGGTCAAACAACTTTTGAGCTTCAATTGGTTGGTGATTTTGGAAGTAACATGAGATCATAGCATTCCATGTAGCAATGTTTTTCTTTGAAAGTTGATCAAACACTTTACGAGCATCATCAATTTGACCAGAACGGGCAAAGCACGCTATCTGTGAATTGGTTGATGATATGTTGGTTGAAAAGTATCTTTTATATTGGAGGCAGAATAAGCGACACATTTTCTGATCTCTGAGTTACTAGAGGTGAAGCAGCAGCAACTTGTAAATGCTCAGTCGTCAACCAGGGCCATCTAACAAGCAAGGCTATACATGAAAATAAAATCCACAGCTCACATCTATCTATAATTCTATATCTGGTGCACGGGGTTAAAGTTTTTATTAAAATTGTAGCAAAAATGAATTGTATATGAATTCATCAATTAGTTTTAAAATAAAATTCAATCGGCTATGGATAGATTTATCAAAATGAGTCGAAGTTCATAGGGCTAGCCCATTTTATCTCATGTCACAGCGAGTTTGAGTTTTCATTCTTCAATCCGATGAATTCACTTGTTTCATGGTGCAACTTGAACGGCTTGCAGGTTAAGTGAGTTGGCTCATGCAGGTTGCGGCTCAATCAAAATATAAACATCTATTTTTTACTTTCATATCTTCAATATTGATGTTTTACTACCAAAATAATTTTCAAATATACATATTAATTTACAACCCTTGTTGAACTATTATTTCTATATATAATAATAATTCAAATAAATTACTCTGGCATTGTTTCTAATATATATATCGGAACGTTAGATTTGAAAATTGTAAATTATAAATACAAGGTTGAGTTCAAATGAGAAGACACTTTAACATGTAAAAAGAGAATTAGAATGTACCGGAATGTTAGATTTGACAATTGTGCATTATTTGAATGTGAAATAACAAAATGTTGTCACATTTTTGTAAAAATTCAACATTTCCTGTTCGTTTGAAGTCTGAATGATTTTAACTATAAGTTTATTGTGCACCCCCCATTAAAAATAATGTGTGTCGTTTGAGACCATTAGGCAGTTAGACGATCCAGGATATGAAATCGGGGTGTGCTAACCCATTTAACAACGTCAACATAAATTGAAAAGTATAAATAAATATGAGATAAAAAAAAATGAATCTACCTTTAGACATTGATTTGGTAGACCTTGTAAATTAATAAATAGATAAGTAAAATCAAATTTATCACATTAAGATCGAGACATGTGCAGCTATTAAAAAAGATTTTATCTGGCAAATGTTGAAATGAAAAAGTAGGGATAATCAACATTTCAACATTTGCCAGATAAAATCTTTTTTAATAGTTGCACATGTCTCGATCTTAATGGGATAAATTTGATTTTACTTATCTATTTATTAATTTACAAGGTCTACCAAATTAATGTCTAAAGGTATATTCATTTTTTTTATCTCATATTTATTTATACTGTTCAATTTATGTTGACGTTGTTAAATGGGTTAGCACTCCCCGATTTCATATCTTGGATCATATAACTGCCTAATGATCTCAAACGACACACATTATTTTTAATGGGGGTGCACAATAAACTTATAGTTAAAATAATTCAGACTTTTGAATTTTTACAAAAAATGTCACAACATTTTGTTATTTCACATTCAAATAATGCACAATTGTCAAATCTAACATTCCAGTACATTCTAATTCTCTTTTTACATGTTAAGGTGTCTTCTCAGTTGAACTCAACCTTATATTTATAATTTACAATTTTCAAATCTAACGTTCCGGTACATATATTAGAAATAATGCTAGAGTAATTTATTTGAATTATTATTATATATAGAAATAATAGTTCAACAAGGGTTGTAAATTAATATGTATATTTGAAAATTATTTTGGTAGTAAAACATCAATATTGAAGATATGCAAGTAAAAAAATAGATGTTTATATTTTGATTGAGCCGCAACCTGCATGAGTCAACTCACTTAACCTGCAAGCCGTTCAAGTTGCACCATGAAACAAGTGAATTCATCGGATTGAAGAATGAAAACTCTAACCCACCGTGAAATGAGATGAAATGGGTTAGCCCTATGGACTTCGACTCTCATTGTGAGAGTGATGAAATTGGTTTTAAAGATGCTTATTTTCAGTGCAATATTATAGTTGAACAAGATTGTGGTGTATTTGAAGAGAATGCATTGCTTACTCAAAAGTTCAGCGTACCTTCCCACGAACTTCCTACTCATGACTGTGGTCTTACTCCTACAACAGAATGTGATGTCCCGAATATTGTTGCAGATTCTATAATGGAGGATATCCGTGGGCCGGTATATCCTCTAGAAATTGATGTTGGGGATGATGGAACTTTTGATGATGGCTCTGATTTGTTCACTGGATTTGCGTTTGATAGTAGGGAGGACTTAAAGAAGAAGTTGAGAGAAGTTGCTATGAATGGGAATTTTGAAACCATAACTGTGAAGAGTGATGGATCGAGATATGTACTAAAATGCAAAGGAGATAATTGTAAGTGGAAGTTGCAAGCAACTGTGATAAAAAAAACTCTAAGGTTCACCATTAGAAAATATATCAAGAAGCACAATTGTTCAGTTGGCGGCCGCAACCGCACACACAGTCAAACAACTTCAAGATATGTTGGAGAAACAGTGTTGTGATAAATTCACTCTCCCACTTTTTTGAAGGAGCATATTCTTTCTCTGACTTCTCTGATCTTTTCCTTGAGACAGAAATATGAACTGAGTTCTTCTCCAGTTGAAGAACATAAACATCAATCTCAATGTTATGGTAGTTCTCCTCTATTGGATTTAATGACTTCATCCATTATGGGAATTTTTATGAAAAGAGGGTATTATTCCCATAAAAATTAAAATTCCCAATTGATGAAACAATTGATGATGGATTGAAATAGTACAATTGATAATTCATTGATATAAGAAAATTCTTAGTTAATTTACAAGTGCTAAAAAATTCAAAGAATTTTTTTAAAAAAGAAGAACAATCGATAATGGATTGAATATGATATACAATTGATAGTTCATTGAAATAAGATTGTTAATTAATGTACAAGTGCTAACAAAAATTCAAAGTATATTTATTAAAATATGAAGTAGAAATGATAATTGATTGAAATAGGATTGTTAATTCATTTACAAGTGCTAAAAAAATTCAGTGTATGATTTCAATACTAAAATATGAAGTACAATACTAAAACTGATAATTGATTGAAATATGAAGTACATTTGATAATTGAAAATGATTTCAAACATGAAATACATTTGATAAAATTTAGTCGGAATCTCCGCCACCATTGATTGTTGTTTCTTCCAGCATTTAGTAAAATTAACTAAAATGAAACTACTTCAATATTTTAAGGTATGATTAATATTAATAAGTAAGAAATGAGAATGTAATTGATATGATAATGAAACAGGTATAGTAAAATTAACTAAAATGCAACTACTTCAATGTTTTAAGAAATGGGAATGTAACAAATATTATAGGTGACAAAATGAAAAAGTTTAACTAATAATATTATTGAGAAGTGTAACTAATAGGATAAATGTAAGAATGTATAATAATAATTAATGAGAGTGTGAGTGTGTAAGCTACTCCGTATAAGAGTAATAGGATAAATGTAACTAATATTAATAAAAGTGTAACTAATGGGATAAATTTAACTAATATTAATGAATATTAGTTAAACTATAATAAATGTATAAACTAAGAATTATACTTTAACTAACTAATACTCCATATATAATATAATGTTTATAGTATATAATATATAAGTATACTACTATAAGATGAGTAGTACACTTATATTTAATACTTTAATATATACTTAATATATAAGTAGATATAATATATGTAAATATAAGTAGATAATAAGGTATATAATAAGTAGATATTAAGTATTTAAGTGGATGTAAATCATGTAGTATATGTAATAATGTAAATATAATTAGATAATAAGTATATATTAAATAGATACTAAGTAGATATAATATGTGTAATTGAATGATATGATGTATATTAATAGATGTAGAGTGAATTGGAGAAGATGAAGATGATTAGAGTAGGAGAGAGTATGAAGAATTGGAGAATAGGTGTAGGAAAATGTTTAGAAATAGGTGTAATTATAGGTTTTTTTTACCCCCACCCCCAACCCTCCTCCCTAACGGCTCTATAGCCGTTGCCAACGACTAAGGAGCCCCCCCCCCCCCCCCAACCCAAAATGATTTTTAAAAGCCTTTTTTTTTTAAAAAAAAATGTGACCGTTAGGCCCGGACCGACCGGGCCGGTTCATGGTTTTTAATCTCGGAGCCCGTCTGTTTACAAAGCCGGTTCGGGCCCGGTTGACCGGTTTGGGTCGGGTTCAAATAGTGCCGGGCCGGGTACCGGGTCGGGCCGACCCGGTCCACCTATAGTCATCGCTGTAGGTCGCTGTTGCTGGGAGCTCGTCATTTCTGTTTTCCGGCATCATAGATTCGCAGCAGAACAAAAGGCACGACTGTATCGTGCGCATGGTACAGCCGGGTGTACCATATAATTTGCTTATCACATGCATTATCAATTTTCATTGTAGAAATTACCCGTTCGAGCCACTTATATTCATTACATTTCGATGATAGCCCGACCCTTTTTTCTTTCCCATATCTAAACTATCACTTTTCCACTTTTATTTTTTATACTAGCTTTTGACATGCGCGTTGCGCGATTGTCTAAATGCCCAATATTATACATGAAGTATATGAAATACACATTTGTAGGATCCTATAAAACACAAACTCCATACAGAAATGACAAAGGAGAAATCTAGCTCCACCTCTTCCTTCTCGACGCTCATCTTGCGGTACAGATCAACAATCGTCTCCATTTAAAAGCCCTCGGCGTCGGACTCGCTTCGTCTTCCCCTCTCCGACTCTCTGCTTCGGTGAAGATGGCAGAATAAAGGCAACAATAATCCCTCTTCTGGTTAACAAGCGTTCAGAATCTCCAAGCCAAAACCGATTGAGAACCGGCGGCACCGTTCCTCATCGAAGGGACGATAATGGACTAACCAAACCCTAGTGGCGGTCAAGCCCTAGAGAGAGACAAGATTAGATAAAACTTCTTTGTTAGAACCATTTTTAAAAAATGTAATTCTTAATATCTGTTTGGTTTCTTTAAAAAAAAAGGAAAAATTGAAAATAATAATCCTAACTATTGCCAGTCCGCTAATAATAATCCCAACTATTGATTATTTTTGTATAATCCCAACTATATGGACCGTCCGCCAATAATGGTCCATGACTAGACATTACCTCCAAATTTAAATAAACATTAAGCGCAAAAATTAAAAGTT